ATGTGTGGCGAAAGGAGGGGAGTATATTGAAGGGAGGCAATCGAATGTAGAATAATTTTTAAAATAGAATCCTTTTTCGTAACACATTTTTTCATTTCTTGGGTATGTATATTTCAGTATTGTGTATGTACCGAACTTTTATTTCAAAAGCATTCTATTTTTCCGCAAGTGGAGTGCAACTCAATTGATTTTTTAGATAACAATCATCAGAACTAAAAACAAATAATCCGTTTTTGTCACATGTTACGATGCGAGTGTGAGCATTCGCTCCATTGACTTTAATTTATAGAATAGGATATAAAGTCTTTCAGAACCATGTACCTATATGAAACTTTTTTATTATTCACTTTTCACGTACGCTTATGTACAGATCTTGATAGTGGCAATTATTCCCCTCTTGTGATGTTTTCTTGGTTTGCAATCGAAAAAAAAAAAAGAAAATAGATAAGGTGTCAGGCAGTAAAACTGAATTCCCTATCAATATAAATATCCTTGTTTGGAATAATTTTTCTAGAAATTATATGAAATGGAGAATCCGAGCAACTTGATTTGGGTGTTACACCAATAGGTTATTCCACTTATGTCTCGCTTGCGTTTACGCAAGTATCTTCATCAAGTACTTTTCTTGGTTATTCATATTTTGTCTTCAATCGAGGACCACCTGCCCGGTACTGACAATGCCCAACAGGGTATAACAGTGTCTACCGGTGGCTCTTAAATTGAAATCAATATGCGAATGATCAGAATAGTACTTATATATTCAACTTTTGATTTCCAATTATTTTCTAGCAGCTTGAACTGCAGTTTGAATTCGATTTTGTATACTACACTGGGCGACCTCTCAAATGGTGGCATACTAAATTTCATAAAAAAATATTCAATAATTATAATTCTGTAGTCGAATCAAAGAAATTTTTATTATGATTCAATTCAAGTATCTGATGGACTGAAAAGTAAAATGAACATCGATTAATCGTTGATAACTATGTGGAAAATTGTATTTTTTTTTCTGGTTGATTCGGCCGTTACTTGATGAAGATCTTTAGTAATTTCATAAACTACACCTCATGATTTGATCCCCACAAACTTTGTTTGAGAAAGAGTGATTTCAAATCACTGTTGAAGAAGCTACTGTGTTAGCGAAACATGTCGTGATACACCAATTTTTCAAATAAAGTTTATGGATATCAAATCGTGAGATGTAGTTTATGAAAAAAGAAAATTGAATAAACGAATGAACATATTCATTCTGGTCAATTAATCATTGGACGAATCAAACATTTGGAAAAGTTAAGAAATAATTGTAGTCAGAAAGAGGAATGAACATTCATCAAATTTTTGTTGTTTCAATTAATCCGCCATTCATCGCAATGCACTTGTCATACCTTCTTCTGATATTCAATTTTACTTCTCCCAATTGATCTGTTGTAATTTCTGAACAAGCTGCAGATATTCTGATGTGCATATCTTCTACGGACTGCGGTCTGCACTTGTAAACTTTTTGCTTCATAGTAACATGAAGAAAAATCTAGCGGTGTCAGGTTCGGTGATCTTGGCGGCCACTCGATGTAAGGACTATTTCGACCTATCCATCGATTTCCATAATTATTATTAGCCATTATCGTACAATAACTACATCATGTACAGCAGACCCATCTAATTGAAACTTCAAATTCTGGCGATCCTGCACTGGTAAGTTATGTATTGTGTCCTAAAACTCATTTCCTAAAAATTCTAAGAATATAATTCCATTCAGATTACTTTTTAAAAAGAATTCCACGTCACACATTTATTTTATGGGAATATTGCCTTTCTGCGTTTATAACCCCATTAGGACGCAGACCATCACCTTCAATTTTGGGAGGAGGCTACCCCATTTGAAGTGAACGTAACTTTATCACTAAACAAAATTATTTTGAAGAAGTTTAAACAATAATTCAAATATTCTTCTTGAGCCCATAAACAGAATTCTAACCTCATTTCATCATCTCCCGGTTCCAGGGTGTGTAAAATTTCTGGCTTGAATGGTTTGATTTAATTTTTCACAAGACATCCCCTGATATCTGCTCTATGAATATTTGAGTTCAAACTAGCCGTTCGCCAAATTGAATGAGAATTATTACAAAAATATTGCCATTTTCGCATACCATTTCTATTCTCACAATGTGGATTGTTTCTGTTAGGGAAACACGACATCAAAACAGTTTTCAGCTCAACCAGGAAGATACAACAAAGCCTCAGCTCGGCAAAAGACAAAAGGGACTCACCATCTAAGACATCCCCTGATATCTGCTCTATGAATATTTGAGTTCAAACTAGCCGTTCGCCAAATTGAATGAGAATTATTACAAAAATATTGCCATTTTCACAAGACATCCCCTGATATCTGCTCTAGGGATATTTGAGTTCAAACTAGCCGTTCGCCAAATTGAATGAGAATTATTACAAAAATATTGCCATTTTCACATACCATTTCTATTCTCACAATGTGGATTGTTTCTGTTTTTGAGCATATGCCTCGATACACCACATGTTTCGTTAAAAATAAAATTAATATATGGTTCACCGTTCTACTGCTCACTGGAAGTTCATCAGGATGTCTGATAAGAAATTCTCTGACAGCTTCTCTTGCCGAAAGAGCATTATCTCCGATAAGGCGTACAAGTTCAATTTTATCTCGCACACTTCCATAATACATCTACTTCCATCAAGTATCGGCCGATTCCATCACATAACCCGACTATTACTCTTCTTTCTTCCTCTGATGCCCCTGCTGAATGGCTAAGCTTTCAAAAAACACCCGTTAAATTCAGTGTCACTATTTTTGTGTTCAAAGGCCATGGATTTTTTGTATTTCTTCCTGAAGTTTCACTGGCGCGAGTGGCTAGCTCCTTCAGAGGTTTATGCATCCTGGATTAATATCCGATGACTTGATATTACGGTTTTGTAACGCGTATTTATGCTGTGTCAGGTAATTTATAGTGCTAAGGCCTATATCTGGATTAGGTAATTCGTTGGTAACATTCATAGACTGTTTTCTTCCTGCCGTCATGTTATTTTCTATCTTCGAACTTCTTACAATGTGATTCCATATTCGGTGCTAAACTAAACCACAAAGTTTATCAAAAACCCACGCACACGGATAGATACCTGCACGCACAATCAAACCATTATCCTAGCCAAAATAGAGGTGTCATCTCTACTCCAATGGAACGGGCTCGAAGAATATGTGAACCAAAGCATCTAGACGAAGAACTGTTCACCTTCGAGTGGCCTTGAGATCCAATGGATACAGCATACTCGTGATCAACAAAGCCATGAAACTAAAGATTCATACGGTTCAAAACGGAGAGAAGGATCAGATGGATGCACGCGCGTATCTACCATATATCCCTAGGGTCACAGACAGAATTGGAAACCTGTTAGGGAAACACGACATCAAAACAGTTTTCAGCTCAACCAGGAAGATACAACAAAGCCTCAGCTCGGCAAAAGACAAAAGGGACTCACCATCAGCAGCAGGGGTCTATCGCATACCGCACACTTGTGGGAATGTATATATCGCAACCACCAAAAGATCCATGGAAACAAAGCTGAAGGAGCATGAAAGAAACTGCAGTCTGAATTCTGTTCGAAAACACAGAACTCATTACCCCTAATCAGGGATAGGGATCAGGGATAGTCGGCTGGTACGGGAAGCAATAGAGATCCACAAACACAAGGATAATTTCAACAGAAAAGAAGAAGCGGTGAACCTCAATCGGATATGGATCCTATAAAAAGTTCAAGGATAGCAAACAGTATGACAGCAGATGGAAAAGAGTCAGTGAATGTTACCGACCCATCACCTAATCCAGGTATTAGCAGTCCTAACTATCTAACACAGCATAAATACGCGTTTCGAAACCGTAATATTCATCGGATATTAATTCAGGATGTATAAACCTCTGAAGAAGCTAGTCACTCACGCCATCTAAACATCAGGAAGAAATTTCAACAATCTATGGCCTTCGAATCCCAAAAACCATTTTAACCTTAACCATTTTATCACCCATATCATTGTTATTGATTCAGTAAGAGCATAGTTCCCACTGGAAAATAGTAACTTCAATTCAAGTGAATGTAATACATCTGAAATATCCATTCGTAGACATTTCTTTACCTCCAGCGTCACTACTATGTGAATGGGAGATTTATAGTAGGTATATTTCCATGTTCTATATCTGATACTGAGAAAATTCGGAAGATTGTCTGATTAAAGAATATTATTTGTTAACATAATTATTCAACACAGCATAGTCTTCTATTACGAAAGACATATTTTCATATTTCGTATTGTCATGCATTGTATATTCAGTAATTCGAAATTTAGTTCTATTTCTACAAGTTATTTGCAGATATTTGACCTAAAGAGTTGCCGCCAACAAAAACAAAGCAAAATCGTCATAATGAACTGTGTCAATTTTTAATGAATGAGACATTTTTTCAGTTCATGTCTCACCCTTCGAGAAAGAATGAGACTCAAAAATATATTTTTCACAGATCTACAAAAAAAAATTAAAAGAGCTTCAACACGATATCTTATTGGCCCCCCCAACACTTTTAAGAAAATTCATTGTGGTGTCTTCCCTCAAAGGAAAGCAAACGGCGGAGTCGCAAATGGCGGTGTTACGAATACAGGGTAAAGATGCCTTAATTTAATCACAAATCGTGTGTTTCAAATAGTGAAGATAATTTTCCGTGCAAATGTAATTTGAAGAAACTCCGTTAGCGATGAATTTTATTCTATATTAAGACTGGGTGGTATGAAATTCAAAAAACTAGCATTAGTTTCTTGAACTATGAGTTCAAAACATCCATGTTGTGATGTTTTTATTTGACGAATAATATTTCTGAAATATTACATTTTTAAATGTGTTTATTGAATAATTTTTGTAAAAATATATTTTATGGATGCATTAATTGGTTACTACTACATGATATGTTTTGATTTTTTGCAGATTTGAAACAATGCAGGAGCACTTACCTATTTTCCATAGAAAAAAATTCTTAGCAATATTTGGAGTCATTTGTCTGTTACTGACACTTTTCTACTATGACAACTCACTTTTGGGGTCTACGGAGCAAATAACTTTCTTTAAAGGTTAGTATTATAGCCTGCTGGTCATCAGAGGCACCGGATTGAATAGTACTTATTTATCTCTAAATTTTACTCAACAGTAGTTTTTCATACAGAGTTCATTGAACTCCTATACTCATCTATACCTATAATCAATAATATCCAAGATAAAGAATATATTTTATTGCCATTTTTTGATCTAATTTATGAATGTACTCTGTTCACCTTAGAATAAAGTAAACCGTCAAAACTAATATACGAATCTCTTGAATGTTGTGTTTTTCAAAGGAAATCAATATATACCACCCTTTTCACAAGAATTATTCTGGAGTTTTTTCACAACATCAAACCGTTATTTTAACACCTCGACACGTGTTTCGATCACCAAGTGATCATCTTCAAGAGAAATATCAAACTTGTTTGATCTTCTTGAAGATGAACATTTGGTGATCGAACAAGTTTGATCAAACAAGTTTGAATTTCCTCTTGAAGATGATCACTTGGTGATCGAAACACGTGTCGAGGTGTTAAAATAACGGTTTGGGGTTGGGAAAAATATTCAGTAATATTCATTACTATATCGCACCAAAGGTTCCAAACAGTGCATCACAAGTAAGAATTATTCTGTTCAGTAAAAAAAAATATATTTCCCATTGATTATAATCACACGGACACAATATTTTGAGAAACGCAAAGTTTTCAGGAAAAAACTTTTTGGCTATCACAATACAAAAAAAGTGTAAAATTTTCGAAGAATGGAAGAAAATAGTCAATTTTTTTTCGTAATAGTTTATGCGACTTCAATGAGCAACGAACCAATTTATTTCATAACATTTAACTCAATATGTTGGTAAATATAAAATGTTCAGTGATAACTGGAAAAATTAAATTCATCTAGAAAGTGGTTGGTGAAAGTTCTTATCAGTTGTAGACAAAAGTTAACAATTTCAAAACGTAATTGCCAAGTCACCTGTTCGCAACATCATATTGCCTCCATTAAGTTGTGTTTGTTGGTATTAGATGACGGAAACATATGTGAAGAAATGGATAATTGAGTTTTTCGATAAATTGAGTTATAAAGAAATGACAGCCACAAGAGAAGCCTTTAAATGGGGGTTGAAAGTTTTGTTGGGTTTGAAGATGAAAAGTATTCGAAGATTCACTTCCTTTTTCAAATTGTCACTTGCTCAAGACAAGTTCAGTAAACATGCATGGACTGGCGACCGAAGTATAATACTGAAAACAAATGGCTCAAATAGACGTTGTTTCGTTGAGTATGTCCACGTTCAGAAAACGATATCTTCGGAACTCATCTCGTGCACGGAATATCATCTCAGTCTTAGAATTCATCTACGGACGGAATCATTCTGAATGATTATTCATCTTCATTCATTTCTGACCACTCGTCTTCAGATAATGCTTAATCAGAGAAATCATTCATAAACTATGAACAAATAAAAACTGTCCAGAAAAAATTATCCTACATGCTTGCAGAGAAAAGAGAGTTTTACAACGAACTGGTCATGTGGTGACAAAAAAATGCAGATGCTATTGACGAATGAGGTTTTCCAAGTATCTGAAAGTGAAAAATATTTTCTTAGTCAAACTTTTATTTTTTCAGATTCTTGTAATTTCAAATGTTCATATATTCAATAAATACACTTGGGAGATTTTTATAGACCTTGTTGGTTATTGCGGACAGCACTACTACAGCTGGTAACTAACTACATCTTTCTAATTGATCAGGATGCTATTTAGATATAAACTGAATACATTGTTTGTATCTTAGGAAAACACAGTTTCAACACAGTTTTCTTTGATTTTCACAAAATCACTCCTTGGGAGTTATTTCTTTCTTCAAACTACTTGTGTGATTATTCATTGGACCATCAAAAATCCATCACTCGTCAACAACTTCCGAACTCAAAACCTTATGGCAAAAAACTAGATGGAGTTTGTTCATGGGTTGTATCGCTCAGAAGAAAAAGTGCAGGCATCGAAGTTGAATGAAGTCCTTACGAATTGAACATGAAAGAAATCATAGAGCAGGTAGCTGAGAGAAATGTTAGCGGAAACAATTCAACACTTTTCGATTCAGCAACTTCACTTCAGAAAAATATGCAAAACGCCTTATCTTCGAAACTGTGATATACTATTGAAATGTATTCAATCATCCAGTATATACATATCATTCATTTTAGTCGATTGGAAACAATTTATGTGAATAAATGGTTTTAATTTGCAGTTTTCGTAATTTCACCCAGTCATTTCTAATACATACTAGAAATGGCGACTAGGAGTGGTGTACACTTCATAAAAAGTGTTAGAACCCAGTGTATTAGTGTTTGCTGGATAGATTGAAAATTTTGGCTGGCAAAATTGCCAGATCCACAAACTAATCGAAGTCCATCATATTATGGATAAGTACGGGAATTCAGTGCTCAAGATAGCGACTAGGTAATTTATAAGCGCGACTTGACGATTATTTTCAAGTAAATGATATTGCTGAGGATGAAAAAAATGCCATTTTGTTGAATGCCTTGGATGAAGATGCATACAAGTTGATATATAATTTGTGTCTTCCAAGGTTACCAGAGGAAGAAAGTGATCAACAACTGACAGAACTGTTAAATCAGTGCTTCAAAGTGTCCGAGTTCCTGTTTGTGGCCAGATCGAAGTTTTTTGCAGCCTACAAGAATCAAGAAGAAAGTGCCAAAGTGGGCGGCAAGAGTTAGAAATTTAGCTCTCAACTGCGGTTTTGAAGAAACAGTAATTGATGTGATGTTACGTGATCGATTCATCGTTGGATTTGATAAAGGGTCAGTTCAATCTAGACTTTTCAGGTCTTCCAAGTTTGAAGATGTTTTAGAAACTAAATTGGCGGAAATGGCGTCGGAGGATAATTAATTATTCCAGCAGCAGAAAACCATTCATCAAATCGGAACCAGTAGTGCATCATATATCTTCAATCATATTTCATACTCCAGCTTCATCATTGCAAACATCACACTGTTCTAGACCTGAGGAAAAGTGCAAGTGCTGTGGTAAAAGTAATCATAATACGCAAAATGGCCGATTTTATAATAATTTGTATAATTTGTGCAAGTGCAAAGGGCATATGAAGTTTAGTTGATTGTAAGAATTACTCACTTCAACTTTATACAGGTACGAGCACATCGGCTTCCTATATCTGATGTTTTTTGGAAAGAGAATTTTTGAATTATGAACCCCCAGATAAATGTTTGAATGTTTATACAGGTGAAAAAATGTTAGCTTTGGGGATGTGTACAGTCACTGTCAGCTGTACTGATGTTCAAAATATTTTGAATATTTTTGTTATATAAAATGGTGGACCTCCTATTCTCAGTAGAGATTTTATATCTTTTTATATCTTGGCATAAATCAGATACATTTTTCTATAGAATCACTGTATATACCTACAAGTTTCAATGAGAAAATATAATTCAGTTTTTTCTCCAGGAATAGAAACTTTCGATAAAGGTACAGCTTCTCTGAAATTGAAAGTACAAAATTCATTAGAGCAAGGTCATTGCCATATGGTATTCGTGATACAGTTGGAGCAGAATTGAAGAATTTGCAAGATTTAGGTATAATTAAATCGGTGAACTATTATTGTCCTTGGGCAACTCCTATTGCGTCAGTTTAAAAAACGGAATTTGCAGAGATTTTAAAACCACGTTGAACACAGTTTTAGAAATTGGATCACAGGGTGGATTATTTTTCTCTAGAATTAACTTTTCACAGGCTTACACGCAAATATGTCTAGATAATTATTCTAAGGTTTTCGTTACAATTTGTAACCATAAAGGTATATTTCATTATCAAAGATTACCTTATGGAGTTGCATTTGCATCGTCAAAAATTTCAGAAAATCATCGATTCTTTGACTCAAAACATTGAAGGATGTGTATGTTTTCAGATGATATATTCGTATGAGGAAGGAATTGTAGCGAACAACTAGATAGATTGAATCGCCTCTTTTCTAGATTACAGGAAGTGGGGTTGAAAGTTAGACAGAATAAATGTAGTTTTTCTCAAGGTAGGATACGTTATCTTGGTTACATAATAGATAAAGACGGTTTACACATGTTACCAGAAAACATCTTGGCAATAAAAAATGCACCAGCGTCCACAAATTTTGAACAGTTACAGTCAGTATTGGGCAGGATAAATCATTATGGAAGTTCATACCCAATTTAGCTACTTTGTTACACCACCTATGTGAACAAAAAATTGTCAAATGTACATGGATTATAAATTGTGAAAATGCATTTCTAAAGGTGAAAGAAATATTGTTGTCGACAAGAGTGTTGGTTCATTACAAACTATCGACCCTGGTCCAACAACCCATAGGGACTCGCATATTCGCGTATATATTCACTGAAAGCTTTCTTTTCGGTCCTAGAAATTCCTTTAGAGGGTTCGTACGGCGCAGTTGGTTAACGAGAAAAAATTGGAATAAATTTCCAATTTGGAGAAGTGAGAACCATCCTCATCAGCAATACTTTATGGTATTGGCCAACGAGAGAAGATTAAACATCTTTCAAAAACACTTCCTCCACACCATTATTGAAGAAAGAAAGGTTTAGACTTTCTACGTGGGAAACTATTTTCAATACATACAATACAAGTTGAAGAATTATATCACCAGTTTCAATAACCACCTGTTAGTATGTTAATACGATCTGATGAAACCGCTTTGATAAGCGGGACACGATAAGCAATAGTTTGCGTATCATTGACGTTACTACGTCATTTCAAATTCTATGTGACCTAAACTTACAGGAAAATTACCTCACAATAATGATGCATTAACAGAAATGGAGTTGTTAAGAATCACAAATCATAAAGTTCGAAATAAAAGTAAAAAATATTTTTTTGAACTACCAAGTTAATGTACTAAAAAGAATAAAATGAGTTCCATTGGAATTGATCGTAGTGTTAATAGCAGATCCGGCAAACGTTTTCCAACATGAATTATGTCTATCAGAAAAATAACACCCACGAATAATAATAATCTCTTAATGCTATATGCTGTACAATATTTTTCATTAGTCCATGTTCAGCTAACACAAACAAACTGTATGGTTTGCCCACTCGAGGGCAAACATGGTGTGTGTGAAATATGGTGTGCTCAAATCCAAGTCACAAACGGACATTTTTTCGGCCTTGGGATTTATTAATCAATGTAATTAGAAATTGCACACGTTTAAAATTAATTGGCGCATATGCAGGTATAATAGGGATTCGTGGTATCAATATATTTTCATCTTGGAATTTGCCATTCAAAATGCTGGCTTCGACAACGCCTTTCATTAATTTTTCAATGACTTATCCCGTGCCGTGCACAGCCGTAGTGGATTCAAATTACGGAGCGATCCAACCTTTACTTGATGAAGATTCATAGTAATTTCATAAACTACACCTTAAAATTTCTTAAAATTTCACACGTTTAAAATTAATTGGCGCATATGCAGGTATAATAGGGATTCGTGGTATCAATATATTTTCATCTTGGAATTTGCCATTCAAAATGCTGGCTTCGACAACGCCTTTCATTAATTTTTCAATGACTTATCCCGTGCCGTGCACAGCTGTAGTGGATTCAAATTACGGAGCGATCCAACCTTTACTTGATGAAGATTCATGGTAATTTCATAAACTACACCTTAAAATTTCTTAAAATTTCAAAAATATATAACGTTTCACAATCACAGTAGCTTCTTCTCAGTAAATAACATACTACGAAATAGCTACTGCGATAGCGAAACATGTGATATATTTTTGAAAATAAAGGTTGTGAAGGTCAAATCGTAAGATTCACGAAACAAATACAAACAAATAAAAAGAAACCAGATTATACTTCACAATACGTGCATTGATTAAAAATATACATGGTGTTCCAAATTAAGTCAGCACCATTGCCAACTCCGTTATTACTGATGCTACAAATTCGGTGAAATGGGCAAATTAGTAGCATTTTTGGCGTTTTCAAAATAATTCATAAAAGGATTTTTTTTTAATGGAATACCCTATATTTCATCATACCAGTTCACCAGTTATTCGATGAATTCTGAAGAAACATAAGATTTCTCCTTATAACACTAGAACATGATGACCCTGAAGGACGATTGGGGTTTTGTCGGTGGTTTATGAGTAAATGCAGACAAGATCCAAACTTCTATAGAAATATTATATGAAGCGATGAGGCTAATTTTTCAAATTGTGGGATGTATAATAGAAATAATTTTCATCATTGGAGTAGACAATCAATTTCTAGTCCATCCCCACAATCCGCAAAGACGATTTAGTATTAATATTTGGTGTGGTCTATTTAGAGGCAGAATTATCGGTCCATTCTTCTACCATGGTTTTTTGAAAGGACCCCGTTACATTCATTTATTAACAAGAGTGTTGAAAGAGTTATTTGATGATCTTGATCTGGAGGCTTGTCAGATGATGTATTTTCAACAGAATGGAGCACCAGCATATAATTTTAGTGGCGTGAAAAGAATGTTGCGAGACTGTTTTGAAAACAGATGGATTGCTACAAATGATCCTGTTAACTGGCCTCCTCGTTCACCAGACATGACACCTCTAGATTTTTATTTGAAAAATGAGGTGCACAAAATGAAACATAATAATGTAGATGAACTGAAAAATTATATTGAAACTATAATTAATTGATGGCCGAATTGTGTTGAAAACAACACATAGCGTCAAAAGAAGGGCCCAAATATATGTTCAACAAGAAAGCGGTGTCTTTGAATGTTTACTTGATATTTTATAGCTCTTCATTCGCCAAAACAAACAAATTTTTTGCACTAGTGAAAGAAATAAATATTTCCACATAAATCGCTCATTTTCAACTTTAGGAAGAAAGTTGATATGATCTTTGTTGTTGAAATGAAAATGTTATTACGAATCGAAATGCATGTTAAAATGTTCCATTACAAAAATCATTTTATAAAATATTTTGAAAACGCGACAGTCATTTTATTTTCTTCATTGAGGAGGTCATTAAAAATGCTACTAGTTTGACCATTTCACCGAATTCATAGCATCAATAATATCGGAGTTGGCAATGGTGTCGACTTAGTTTGAAACAACCAGTATATAGTCATGTTAACATATTTTTCACAGGCTTGATATGTTTTCCCAAAAAAAATAATATTATCCAGATAAAATAACCTGGAATCCCAAATTTTCTACGATTGGAAGAGTTGTAAAAAACTATGATGTCAAATTGCCAGTAGGCGTAAGTACTCTTTCACTTAGAATAATTCATTAAACGCGTATTTTTCTGTGACCGACACTCCGCTGACAATTATGTGTCGTCTTTCACCCAGCCTACCGTAACATGATGATTTTTGATAGGGCGCTTTGTTTCGAAGATACGGAGCGAAAAAAAATTTCGACAATAACAATTTATTACACAAAATTACATGTAATGGTTCTTAATCTACAAGAACTGTCGAAAATGACTACCCCCGCTCGTATGCAAGAATCTAGTCTTCTTCTCATCAACTCTCGAACTCTTTCAAAAACAGCAGGATGACTTAATAGACATAGTATTCAAATTGAATGTATGCAGCCGTTTCTAGCAATCGGAATGTTGTTGATAGGCGCCAACGGAATTGTTAGATTTTTTATTACTTGGTAATTCCAGTGTAGTACGCTATACTTTTATTTCGGCTACGTTAATAATTCAAATATTACCAAAATTGTTATTATCGAAATTATACTTCGCCACGTATCTTCGAAACGAAGCGCCCTATCAAAAGTCAACAAAGGACAAAATATCCTCAGAATAGCCCAAGGAATAGTCCCTTAATTTTTGCCGCATGTTCAATAAACACCCTGTAAAAAATAAAAAATGAGAAATGAAACTTTCTATGTTTCTTGACACTTTCATTTGTAACTGACTTTACTGCAGTTTCGTCCTATAAGGACATTTTTAAACTTATAAATTGAACCAAAACTGATTGATTACATTAGCCCTTATTTAACACCACTGTGGTTAATAAGAAGGTACTTAACTTAATTGAGTACCTGCATTTTGTTCACCTATGACAATGTGGGTACACTTATCTGAAAACCGGGGAGTAAACTAGATCGATTTGATAATTTTACAGGTTGTACTCGCAATGCTGATGCTTATGAATTTCCAAGGATTTCAAATAATTGATCTTGCAACCCTTTCTTGCATAGTGCAAAATTTCCATATCGTTTAGATATGGAACTTGCGGTTGCATCCCAAGAAATGGTTTGAAAACGTCGAATCATGTTTACCTAGTCTGAAGGACATTTCATGTTCAACATACCGTTTAGAGAAATTTCGACAACATTCTCCCACATAAACACTATTACACTCCGGACACTCAAACTTATAAACTCCAGATTTCTCCAACCTGTCCACCTTATCTTTGGCATTGAAAAGGAAATCAGATAACCTGGCCTGTGGTCTGAATGCCACTTCTACATTGTTTCTTCTGGAGAAACTCGCAATTATATCTGTTCTTTCACCAAAATATGTTAGAGTTGCCCATTTATTGATTTCTGATTGTTTGATCTGGGGGTATATCAATCTGTAAGTGAATTTACGGCTTTGTTTTCTGACTAACTTCTGGATTGTGTCTGCGTTGAAACCATTATTATGGCCTATCTGTACCTATACTTATTTTAATTTCCCTAACTAGATTGTTTGCAGACAAAAGTAGTGAGAATGCTCTGTGCAACATTCAATTGTAGGCTGCTAATTTTAACTGTCTGGATGAAAAGAATTACTTGGAATGGTAATGTCTGTATAGCTAGGTTTTCTGAATACATTGAACTCCAATTTATTCTGATTGTGTGTAATGGTCAGGTCTAACAAATGTATCTGTTTCTCTAACTGCTAACCTGCTATGAACGGATATCCAGATGAATTGCATTGCTTCACATACGTCCTAACGACTTGGAGGGGTATTTGACAGTTCTGTTGTTGGGATTGTTTTAAAATAATCCTTCTGGGTATCCATAAATTCATTCTATTACTTCTAGACTCACGTTGCACATTTTTACTATATCACTCCGTTACAGGTGTCAACAATGCATCAAATTTCAATAACATTTCCACCACAACGAGCACCACTTTACATTTCAAATTTACAGATGTCACTACCGCACCAACATTGGAGAACAAATCACAACAAGGTAATTTTAATTTAATATTCTTCTTTTCATCTG